GGGTGGGGATGCCAAGCCCTACCGCCCTGAATGGGGTGCCGGTGGGGGGGCCTCCGTTAGTTTGCCAGCAGCTCCTGACCTCAGGGCAGCCTGACAGCTGAACTGCGGGGAAACTGAGACACAGAGAGGCCGAGGGCCCGCTGCCCCAGCTCTGCTCTCCCCAGTGGCCACAGGACCCCATGGCCACCCCTAGCCCTGACCTGTACCCCCTCCCTCCCCAGTGGCACCTCATCCTCGGGGGGGCCGTGTTGCTCACAGCCCTGCGTCCTGCCGCCCCGGGGCCCACGCCGCCGCCGCAGGAGGCCTGAGTGAGGACTGAGCCCCCTCCCGCCTCCACCCTCCCTGCACCCCACCTGCCCTCCCCCAACCTGTAGTGATGTAGGGGACCTGGGCCCCCTTCCCTCACGTGGCCTCCCCTCACGCCGGCGCCCCCACCTTCCCTGCCCTGGGGGAACGCTGCTCATATTCAATTCTCTTGTTTCTGTGTCTCTGTCTGTCTGTCTGTCATCCTTTCTGGCCCACAGTGGATGTACATCATTCCCGTCGTCCTGTTCCTCATGATGTCAGGAGCGCCGGACGCCGGGGGCCAGGGAGGGGGCGGCGGCGGGGGTGGTGGTGGGGGCAGTGGCCGCTGAGGGGCCTGTCAGCACCCTGGTCCTCTGTCATCCAGGCAACTCCCTTCTTGCCCAGAGTGCCCGTGTCCTTGGTTGTCTGAAGAAGGATTTGCCAGCCCATCCCGTGTCCGTCCCGTGAGGATGGGAGGACGTCCCCTCCCCAGGAGTCCTTTCCCTCTGGTCCTTGCTGTTTCTGCGGCTGGACGCTACCTTCTGGTGCACTGCGCCTTCCCCTGTGGCCCCTCTGCAGCCGCAAAGGCTTCCCGTGCCCACAGCCTGGAGCTTGAGCTTCTGGGCCAGCTCTGACCTTGTGTTTGTCCCCCCGTTTCCGCCCCGAGCCTCACAGTTTGGGAACATGCCGAGTTCTCTCCAGCCTCTGTGCCTTTGTTCGTAGTCTTCTCGTCCTGCCTGTCCCAGGCCGGGCTAGATGGTCCCCCTAACTTGTCTGACACTGGATTGGGCCATGTGCTTCCCACCTGTCCGCCCTGAGGGGCCTGGCGCAGAGCAGGTGTGGGCTGGCCAGGGGTCCCCCTCCCCCCCCCCCCCCCCCCCCCCAAGGCTCCATTCCTCCCAGCAGCCCCACCTTGGGATCCTTCCCCGGCCTTTATCTGCCCATGGCCCTGAGCAGTTTAGGCTGCTTTGTCAGGATACCAGGCCTTCAGAAGCTTTGGGGCATGAAGAAATTATGTTAGAAGTGAAAACAAAACTAATACTTAGTGGAGTCGAGGGCCGGATGATGTAAATAGAACCCGTTTCCCTGTCCGGAATGTCTTCCCTGTCTGCGCACTGGGAGGCCACTGCCTGGCTTTGCTATTGATCACCCCCTCCCTTTGTCTATTTAAAAACATTCAAAAGTATATTGAAATACATCAGAGTAAAAAACAACTCAGCAGCCGAATGCAACCGTCGATTTGGTTCCAAGGAAGTCCCAGTGCCCAGGCTTTACTGAATTTCCGCCGTTCACTGTACGTTATTATTCAGAAACACACACGAATGGCTCGCGGGGCCGCCGTAATGGCCGTGCAACGCTCCACGGTGTCGTATGGCTGTTGATTAAACTGTTCCCCAAATGTTCCACATGTAGCTTCCTGCTCAGTGTGGTTAATAAATAGCAGTGTTATCCAGGCCCTCTTTGGTGAGTTTGAATTCTTTTCCCGGGGACTCAGAACTAAAAGTGGAATCTCTACGGCAGATCGGAGACACTTTTATGAAAAGGGGACGCACTCGTGTGGCTCTACTGGCGAAACGACATTAAAGGGGTGTGGTGGGCGGTTGTTCCCCCCAAATGCTCTTTTTAAAAAAGATTTTTTTTAAATGTTTATTTATGTTTGAGAGAGAGCAGGGGTAGGGGCAGAGAGAGATGTTTATTTAAAAACACTAAAAAAATGTCTGACGACAGAGAGCCCAATGTGGGGCTCAGACTCACGAGCCACGAGGTCATGGCCTGAGCTGAGGTCTGACGCTTAACCGACTGAGCTACCCAGGTGCCCCTTTTGTGGCTTTTAATATATAAAAAAATTTTTTTAAACGTACGTTTATTTTTGAGAGAGAGAGCATGAGTGGGGGAAGGGCAGAGAGAGAGAGGGAGACACAGAATCCAAAGCAGGCTCTGGGCTCAGCTGTCAGCACAGAGCCCAATGCGGGGCTCGAACTCACAAACCGTGAGATCATGACCTGAGCCAAAGTCGGCGCTTAACCGATGGAACCACCCAGGCGACCTTGTGGCTTTTAATACATAGGGCAGTGTCCCCGAGTTATTCTAACTTGGCATTTCTTTCTCCACCAGCATGTGCCAGCATGTCTCATGTTTCTCCGGTCTATGTTTCATGTGACCTCTAAGATTGCCCTGGTAGTGTTGACTGGTGCTTTCTTGGACAGGGTTCAGACTCCGAGTTCTTAACCCTTTGTCTCATTTGCAGGTGCATTCTTGCCCCAGGCATTTGTTGGACCATTTTGTAATTTATTTTTGAGAGAGAGACAGGGTATGAGCAGGAGCAGAGCAGAGAGAGAAGGAGACACAGAGTCTGAAGCAGGCTGCAGGCTCTGAGCTGTCAGCACACAGCCAGACGCGGGACTCGAACTTGTGAACCGTGAGATAATGCCTGAGCCGAAGTCGGATGCTTAGCCGACTGAGCCACTCACGCGCCCCCCATTTTGTAACTTTTTAGTGGATTGAGATTGAGATCTTCATCAATCTGATTACTTTCTTTTTCTCTAGGGGTTTTTTGATCACTCTGGAGCCAGCAGAGTTAATCTGTGGTATATTCCAGTCAGCGTCTGAGCTAGTTTAGGCTCCTTGGGGTTCTGTCCACATTAAACTTTCCTAATTCTTGCTTGTCCCCGGAGAGTTCATTTACTGTTTCATTTTATCAGGGTACCCGGGATAGAGCCCAGAACTCAAAACAGGATCCAAAGCAAAGGGCCTTGCGCTCACCCCAGCCTGGTACCCGTTCCCCTTCCTGGGGGGCCGCCCGCATTTTCGGTCTCCTGTGCACTGCTTTGGAGATACTCTCTATGTAACCACACAATGTGTATGTAAATCGTCTTACAAAAAGTGCGTTGCTCTAGTTTTTTCCTCCCCTTGAAACCAGAGAGGTTTCCATCTTGGATGCAGAGTGCATGGCTGGCTTGGGGTTGAATTCGTTGGCCCCTCGTGGATGGACCTTTGGGTGGTTTCACGCAGCACTCCAGGAACCCCCACGTGCCTGCCTCATTTTGGGCACACGCACGCGTGTCCGCAGGACACGCTCCCAGGTGGGGACTCGCCGGGGGCGGTCTCAGCCACCTCCTCCCTGTCACACTGGAGCTCTTCTTGCTGACTGTCCTCAAGCCCCCCTCCAGTTCAGACCGCCTTCCTGGTCTCCACACCCAGAGTGTCCTCTCGGGGACCTCTGAGAGTCACTGCCACCTGTCTGCCCCCAGTCAGAGCTCCTCCAGGAATCCGTACGCCGGCGTGCGGTGCCGCCACCTACCTGACCTCAGACCAGAGCGCTGCTGTGCCCTCCTCTGCTGTTCCTCCCTGCCTCACCCCTTCTCTGTCCCCATGGCCCCAGCCCTGGCCGCCTCCTCCCTGGCCTCATGAGGGGATTTCTGACACCAGGGCTGTCCTCACTTCTCCCCTGCTCTTAGCCTCTCCGTGGCTCCCCAGCACCCTCGGGACAAAGTCCCAGGGCCTCTGCCTTGCCTTTGAGGCCCAGTAGCTTTTGTTCTATTCCTCCTTTTCAGCCTCATTGATGAGCACCCCCCCAGCCCTAACAGTTGAGTCCCTCAAATACCACCGGCCAGGCCGGAGGCACCCTCCACCCCCTCATAGCCTCAACCCCATTCTGTCCTCCCCCTCTCTCTCTGCCCCTGAGGAGCCCACTCTCTCCCTCCTCTGGCCTCCTGTCCTCTGGTCTGAGATGGAAGAGCACCTGCCAGGTAAGTGCTCAATAGAGGGGTTGCCTCCCTCCTGGGTTTCCTGCCTCGCCCTCTGGATGCCCCTCCTTGCCCCCCAAGATGTTACCTGCTCCCTGGCGGTTAGGAAACCCCTTTCCCACTCCAGGGTTTCATATTGTCATTTAGATACACTTAGGACAGAGTTGTAGGACAGGCACTCTTGAAATCTGTAAGGCTGGGCCGTCTGGGTGGCTCAGTCTGTTAAGCATCTGACTTTGGCTCAGGTCATGATCTTGCTGGGTGTGGATTCCAGCCCCACGTTGGGCCCTGTGCTGACAGCTCAGAGCCTGGAGCCTGCTTCGGATTCTGTGCCTCCCTCTCTTTCTGCCCCTCCCCCCGCTGGTGCTCGGTCTCTCTCAAAAATAAATAAAAACATTAAAAAGATAGAAATAAAATCTATAAGGCTAATAATGTAAGTATTTTAAAGACTCTCCTATGGCAAATTATGCCTTGTAGCAGGGACTTTGGGAAACAGTTCTGTAGCCTCCATTATTTAACCCAGTAGTGACTCTACAGTGAGCATCGGGGCCACTTACTGGGGCCTCTCTAGCTGTCAGTCATTCTCCTTTGCTGGCACCCACCTTCCATCTCAGCAGGACACAATGGTGTCCTTACAGGGGAAAACTCAACGTGGCCCAATTCCTAGAAACGGGCCGCCAAGCAGCTTTCCTTTGTTTCTCCGGGAAGAGTCATGCTTGTATTTCTTTCCATGGCAACGCGGAAAGAACCCACCCGTGGAATGACTTGAAAACGTGAAGGGTGGAGGTTTCAGTTGAAAACCAAAGAGCTTGCTGGGTATGATGTTTACATATTGACCAGGAATAAAAATTTTCACATTTTTACAGAATTTTGCCAATCTCCCGTCTCCCCTCCCCCCACCAACAGCTCTCCTCCCACCCACCCCTCCCCCCAAGCATTCCAGTCCCTGCAGGGTTTTTTTGTTTTTGCGTTTTTCGCGGCCATTCACGGTGCCTAATCCAGCCGGGTTGCAGTTCCGTCCTTTATCAGTAGGCGGCGATAAAAGGTTTCGCGCCGCCGGAGAATACCTCCCAGGCCCACAGGATACTCCGCCGGATACTCTGGGGAGGTCAGGCCCACATGGCCCCTCTCCACGAAGAGAAGTGCCCTGCGGGGGGTGCTGTTGGCCCTTTGGGAAGGCCGGGGTCCCCACGAAGCCTCTGTCCTAGCAGATGCTGATCTTCGGGAACACCGGTGCCTGTGTTCTCATCCGTGAAATGGGAGTCGGGTGAGGTCCTCCCACGCTCCATGTCGCCTGAGGAAGAGAAGACTGGGGGGGGGGGGGTTGGGGAGGGGAACGGGGCAGAAAGGAGGCAGCCTCCTTCCCACCATGCTCACCAAGCCCACCAGGGATCAGCAGAGTGGGGAGGGAGCAGGGTGGCCCAGCCAGTCCCTGCCCTGCCACTTACATGCTGTGGTCTCCAGGCAACTCACTCCCGGTCTCTGGTCAGCTCCTCGTTTCCTCCTTCCTGGGCCAGGGGCAGGCCTCCTTCCTCCGGGCAGTGTCCAGGGTCCAGGACAGACAGAAAAGAGAGAGAAAAAGGGTGTCACACGTGCCCTTGCACCTCGGGGGGCCGCAGGCTTCGCAGCCCTGCTTCGGGCTGTGCAACCTCTTGCCACCAACGCGGCACAGATCCCCAGGTGGATGTCAGCTCAGGACTTCAGGCAGGGAGACGGGAGAGGAGCTCAGGGCCCCTGCGGGGGCCTGGGCGTGGAGGGGCCTCCCGGGAGACAAGGCTCAGAGGAAGGGAGGCCAGTGCGAGGGGAGAAGTCTGGGAGGGGAGAGAGAGATTCAGAGAGGAGAGAGAGGAAAGAGGGAGAGAGATTGAAGGGGTGGGGAGAGAAGGGATGGAAGCCAGCAGGAGAGGGGAGCCAGGAGGAAAGAAGGGAAGAGAAAGCGCAGGGGGAAACACACGAAATGAGGAGGGGTACGAGGAAGGGAGACCGAGAAGACAGGCTGGGGGGAGGCCCTGAGAGAGAGGCGGGGAGGGGAGACGGTGGCGGGGAGAACGACGTCTGGGGAAGGAGAAGGAGGGAGAGGTGAAGGGAGAGAGTCGGGAGTGGAAGGGAACGCACGGGAGAAGACGGTCCGGGAGAGCAGGGCAGGGTGCGGAGCGGAGGAGCGAACCGGGAGCCGCGAGGCCAGACGGGGTAAGAAGGCAGAGACGCAGGGCGGGGAGAGCGGAAGGGGACGGAGCGAGAGCTCGGCCAGGGCCGCGACGAGAAGGCCAAGGCGGAGCAGGACAGGGAGGAGAGCAGGCAGAGGGAGGGGGGAGAGCGGACGGGAACTAGAGACAAGAACAAGGGGGACCCGAGCGTGGAGAGCGAGCGAGCGAGCGAGCGGGCGGGCGAGCAGGCGGGATAGAGCGGGGCGGGGGAGGAGAGAGGCCGAGAAAGGAGGGGTGTGAGCGAGGGGCGGGGAGTGCCAGGCGCGCGTGGAGCCCGGAGGGGGTGGGGAGGTGAGAGAGGAGGGAGTGGAAGAAAAAGGATGGGGAGGAGGGAGCACAAAGCCGCGCTGAGAAGAGTGAGGGGGGCAGTGAGGGGCGGCTGGGGAGCGAGAGGGGGAGGGGAAGGGATGGGGGGAGGGAGGGAGAGGGGGTCGGAAACACTGGCGGGGGAGGGGCCCCCCCCCCGCAGGGGCCGGGGCGCGCACGCGCACAGGTAGACGCGCGCGGACGCAGAGGCACAGGCGCGCGCACACAGACAGGCGCGTGCGCGCGCGCAGACTGGCAGGGGCAGGCACGCGCACGCCCAGAAGCCGGGGCCGGGGTCCGGTGGGGTGGGGGCCCGGCCCAGGCGAGGCGACCGGAGACCGAGGTCACACCCCGCTGCGGAGACGCCTCTCCGTCCTCGCCGCCCGGCCGCCACGCCGCGGGCGCTTCTGTCACGGAAGAAGTGTCACAGGAGACGAGGAAGTGACAGCCGGGAACACCGACAGCCCGGAGCCCACGGCGTGCGGAAGGAGCCGGGTGATGAAGGGGGCCGAAGGAACGACAGAGCCGGAGCCAGAGAAGAGGCAAGGGAGGCTGTGTCGCCTCCCGAGAGACGGGGCCCTTCCGGGTCGCCGGCAGTGTCCCCCCCCGGCCCCGGGCGCGCGAGGAGCTGGAGACGGGCGGGCTGGCGGTCCCGGGACGTGACCTGACTGTCGCGAAATGGGACACCCAAACCACGGGGCTGTCTGTTCGGGGGCAGGAGACGGGTGTCACCAGCTCGGAGGCGGCAGGGCGCCGGGGGCGCGGCCGGGGACCTGGGGGGAGGGGCAGATGTGGGGCCGAGAGACCGACGGGCGGGACGGGATGAGGGAGACCCTCGGGGACGACACCAGGCGGAGAAATGGAGACGGAAAATGTTGGGGGGAGGGCGTGGAGGGGGTAGACACGCAAGGGCGGGAGGACCCGGGCGGGGGAGGGGAGGGAGACGGAGCAGAAGGAGGAGTAAAAAGTCCTTAAAAAGAAGGTACAGTGAAAAGCCGAGCGGGAGTGTGGACAGAAAGGGGCGGGGGGGGGGGGAATAGGAGACCCCATGGAGGGACGGTGGGGGGACCGAATCGGCGTGTGAGAGAGGGCCCGAGGCCGGGAGACGGGGAGCGGAGCAGGGACTGGCAGGTGGAAAGCAGGAGAGTGCTCCCCGAGCACAACCCGAAGAACGGGAGGTTGGCGTGAGAAGCAGATACGAGGAAAAGAAGCTGGAAGCGAAGGAGACAGGAGTAGAGGAAGAGGAGAGGCGCGCAGAGAAGCGGAGGGAAGTGGGGGGGGGGGGGGACCTGCCACACGGGGCCCCCAGAGCGGCCCCTCCTGTCCTGGGCGCTGCGGTGTGGATGCCACCTCCGTCCCCGTCGCCACCGCCCGGAGGGCAACGGGAGGGGGTAGACGAGGGGGCGGAGTGAAGCGCGGCGGGGAGGAGGGTCTGGGGTGGGCTTGAAGTGCCGAGGGAAGGAGAGAAGCTTCCGGAGAGGGTGAGAGCCGCGGGGCAGGGAGCCAGACGGGGTGGGGTTGGGTGGGGGAGAGTGAAGAAGGGCAGGAGCTTGGGTTCAGAATTGGGGGAGGGGTGTGTGTGACATAAAGAAAACCTGCGTGGGGGTGTGGGGGGAGGCCCAGCTGGGGACTGAAAGGAGAGGAGGAGGGAGAGGAAGAGGAGGAGAGGGAGGAGGGAGAGGAGGAGGAGGAAAGGGACAGGGAGGAGGCGGGGGGGGGGGGAAGAGGAGGAGAGGGAGGAGGGGGAGGGGGGAGGAGGAGGAAGAGGGGGGGAGGGAGGAGGGGGAAGGAGAGGGGGAGGAGGAGGAGAAGCCAGACACCATCAAGACGGTGTGAGCAGAAGCAACTAGAAGGTAGTGTGGGGAGGAGAGCGGGTCAGAGAGGATGCAGAGACCCAAGTGGGTGGGGACAGGGGAACAGGTGAGAAAAAAGATGAAGAAGGAGACTTACTGAGACAGGGAATCAGAGACAGAGACTGTGTCTCTGGGAGAGAGAACGCCTGAGATGGTCTGAGAGACGGAGTGAGAGAGAGCGTCAGAAAAAGTCTGCGAGTCAGACAGAGAGAGAGAGGGTCGGAGAGAGAAGAGAGTCTGAGGGAGAGGCAGGGAGAGAGACAGTCTGAGAGAGACAGAGACGGTCCGAGAGACACAGAGGGAGAGAGAGAGAAGAGAGTCTGAGGGAGGCAGGGAGCGAGCCGGAGGGTCTGAGAGACAAAGTCAGAGAGAGTCTGAAAGAGAGACTGAGAGACAAGGTCTGAGAGAGAGACAGAGAGAGAGTCTGAGAGACAGCGACTGAGTCTGAGAGAGAATCTGAACGAGAGAGAGACAGTGTGAGAGAGTCAGAGAGACACCAAGTCATAGAGAGTCTGAAAGAGAGACTCTGAGAGAGACAAAGTCTGAGAGACACACAGAGAGAGAGAGAAGAGAGTCTGAGGGAGGCAGGGAGCGAGCCGGAGGGTCTGAGAGAGTCAGAGACAGTCTGAGAGGAAGTCAGAGAGAATCTGAGGGAGACAGTCTGAGAGAGTCTAAAAGGGAGACTGAGAGACAAGGTCTGAGAGAGAGACAGAGAGAGAGTCTGAGAGAGACAAAGTCAGAGAGGGAGAGTCTGAGAGAGACAGAGACGGTCCGAGAGACACCGAGTCACAGAGAGTCTGAGACACAGAGACTCTGCGAGAGACAAGGTCTGAGAGAGTCTGAGGGACCGAGCCCGAGAGTCAGACCGGGACGGAGTCAGGAAGGGTCGAAGACGGAGGGCGGGAGACCGAGTCAGAGAGTCTAAGAGTCTGAGAGAGACACAGTCTGAAAGAGAGAGAGAGACAGAGAGAGAGAGTTTCAGCCAGAGAGTCAGGGACGGTGAAAGAGAGAGAAAGACCTGAGAGAGAGAGACCGGCTCAGAGAGAGATTCAAGGAGAGAGAGAGATTCTGCGAGACGGAGTCCGAGAGACACAGAGAGAGTCAGCGAGAGCGGGTCAGCGAGAGATTCAAGGAGGATCCGACAGACAGAGCCGGAGAGCGAAAGCCACACAGAGAGTCCGAGAGAGGCGAGAGAGTGAGAGAGGGGGTGAGAGAGCCGCGTGGCAGCCGGTCAGGGGTCAGGGGTCAGGGGTCAGACCGAGGCCGACTGGAGGGCGGGGGTGGGGGGGGGCACTGGCGCGAGCAGGGGGGGAGAGGGAGGGAGGAAGGCCCCCTTCCCCTTCCGATATTTTTCTCTCGGTGTGGCCAGCGGCTGGGGGGGGGGAGGGGGAGGGCGGAGGTAGTAAGGCGCCTCCTGCCGCGGGCACCCGCTGCTGCCTCCCTGGTTCCCTTCTAGCACTTTCTCGCTTACTGTCTCTCTCAGCCTTCATTCAGCCCCCTTGTCGCTCCCCGACTCCAGAGAGTGGCCGTCACCCACATCCGCTCTTTTCTCTAATGAAGGAAGCAAACTGGAGCCCGGATTGGCTGTCACCGAGGCCGCGAGGGGCCCGACGGCCTGCGCTTCTGCAGTGGTGGTGACAGACCCCCCCCCCCCCCCCCCCCCCCCCCCCCCCCCCCCCCCCGGAGGACCCCGAGATCCCTTCTGCCTGGAAATGCCGAGCTCCCGCTACTGAGAAGGAAGAACAAGAGAAAGGAAGCCAGCGGAGGGCAAGGGCGGGAAGGGGCAGGGCGGGACAGAAGGTGGAAGGAGCCGGGTCAGTGTGTGTGAGTGACCCAGCACACAGCTGGTGCTCCATGGGTGCCCCTTCCCTGTCCCGTCGCCGGCAGCACTGAGAGCAGGAAGGAAGCGAAGAGGCAGCAGAGGGGAAGGGGGGGGGGAAGGAGGCAGTGAGGAGGGGAGGCTGTGCTTGTAAAGAGCCTGGCACACAGTAGGTGCTGAAATGCCCACTCCCGTCTCCAGGAGAGAGGAAACAAGTCAGAAAGAAGGGGAAGAGACCACCATAGCAGAAAAACGGGGGGAAAGACAGCCTAAGGAGAGAGAGAGTCGTTGGTGGCAATTGCTGGGCATACAGTAGGTGCTTATTAAGTGATAGTTCTTTTCCCAGGAGAAAGAAGACAGGGAAGCGTAGGCTCCAGCAGACAGAATAAACAGGAGAAGTTGTGAGGGAAGGAGACGGTGTATGTAGAACAGCGGGCACGCAGTAGGCACTTAATAACTGCCCATTGCCCTCCTTGGTAATGAGCACACAAGCAGCCAGGAGGAGGGAAGGAAGCCGAGAGGAAGACAGAAGGAAGAACAGAGGCAGTGAAGCAAGCCATGGCAGTGTATGCGTAGGAGCGGCACACAGCAGGTGCTTAATTCATGCCTACCTCCTTCCCCGGGAAGGAGCCCAGGAGAAGCGAGTGCGTAGGTTAGGCTGTGGGTACCCAAGAGGCACTCAGTAAATGCACCTTGTCTTCCTAGGGGCACAGAGAGAACAAGAGGAAAAGGAAGACGCAGGCACGGGCGAAGGGAAAGGAAGGTTGGCTGAGGTCGAGGGCAGAGGAGGCCGCGAGGGTGGCGGACCGGAAGGAAGGAAGGGACCTCAAGAACTGGCAGAGGAGAGGAGGCACAGGCGGAGGCAGTGCAGGCAAATCATGGGGCGCACGGGAGGTGCTCAGTAAATGCTCCTTCTCTTTCCCAAAAGAGGGCCCAGGGAAGGGAGAAGCCTGGCCGAGCGAGAGGGACAGGGAAAAAGAGGCAAGAGGAGATGAGATGGAACGTTGATCGCCTGGCATACAGTTGGTGCTCCCTAGTTGCTTGTCGTCTTCCCCAAGGAAGAGCTGATGGAGCAGAAAGAAGGAGAAGTCAGAAATGAAGGAACAGGGAGAACGGAGGGGGGAGGAGAGTGTACGGAGATTGTCTGGCATACAACAGGTGCTCAGTAAGTGCCCGTTCCTTCTCTGGCAGAGAGCAGAAAGCAGCAGAAAGCACAGGTCGGTGAAATAGCAGGGTGAGAGGACAGCGGAGGAAGCACAGGCGATTGTTTGGCATGCCATAGGTGCTCGGTAAATGTGTGTTCTTTGCCTTGGAAGAGAGCAGCAGAGAGCCCAGAAGGATGCGGAGGGGACAGAGGAGAGACGGGGGGAAGGAGGGGAAGAAGGTGTGGGGGAAGGGAGGGAAGATGTGTAAACTACCCAGCACACAGTAAGTGCTCAATATGTGTCCATTCCCTCCCCCGGGAGGGAGGGAGCCGAAGGTCAGAAAGGAGAGAGGGAAGAACGGAATCATGGGAGGAGAAAAGTGTAGTTGAGAGAGGAGACAGAGTTTGTAGATTTCCCAGCACACAGTAGGTGCCCCACAAATGCGCATTTTCAGACGGATCGGGAAGAAGTGCAGGGAATGGGGCGGGCGGGCGGAAGGGACAGCAGAGCCAAGAGTATCAGGTGAGAGGCGGTGTGTGTGGAACTTGCCTGACAAACACTAGGGATTTAAAAATGCCCGTTTCCTCCAGGAGTGGGAGCCGGACGCTGGACGCTCCGGAAGAACAGGCGGAGGGTCCAGGGGAAGGGGACAGGAGGGTGCCGGGGAGGCCAGGAGGCGTCTCACGTCCTTACGGCTCGTGCCCTGGAAACGCTTGTCCCCTTCCCTGGCAGAGCAGAAAGCAGGCTGGGAGGCCAGAGGGAGGAGGATGGGGGAGAAGGGGGAGTCTGAGGGTGGAGGCCCCTCCCCTGGGACCCAGCCCACCGTCCAGCTGCCCGACCGGAGCGGGGGTCGGGGACAAGGGCGCATTGTCCGGGCCCGGCAGGGCCTGGGGGTGGGCTGCTCAGCTGTGTCAGGGGGGCGGGGCGCTGCCCGGTCTCCGTTTCCGGGTCTCTGAGTCCCTCTGTGTCTCCGCGTCTCCCCACCTCACTGTGTGTGTCTCTGGGCGTCTCTGCCGTCCCACAGTCTGTCCCACCTCTGAGCCTCTGGCCCCCTGTTTTGGTCTCTGTTTCACTGAGCCCGGGTGTCCCTCTGCACCGTCTTTCTCTCTCTCTCCCCAGCCTCTCGGTCGGTCGGTCTCTCAGCCTCAGTTTCTTGCTGTCTCTGGGAGGGAGGCCCGCCGGGATCGGGTCGGAGGAGTGAGGAAGGAAAGGAGGAGGCCAGGGGAGCGAGAGAGTGAGGACAGAACAGCTTTATTGAGCAGAAACCGCAGCAGAGGGCCTGGCGGCCTCCGACGGGGAGCTGGAGGGGGGAGGGGGCAGGAGACGACAGGGTCGGGAGACGGAGACGGAGGGGAGAGGTGGAGAGAGGCAGAGAACGAGAGACTGAGGCCCAGAGACGTGGGGGAGGGACGGAGAGACGGGCCAAGGGGAGACGTCGGTGGCAGGGAGAGTCAGATGGAGAGAGGCGGGGAGGGAGAGGAAAAGACGAGGAAGAGAGAGACACAGAAGCGAAGATGAGGGAGAAGAGCGACGGGGACGAGGGGCCAAGATTCAGAAAGGGGAGGAGGAGCCACGGAGAGTGAGAAGGACAGAGCTGGGAAGGGACCGAAGACGGAGGGAGAAGGAAGGAAGGAGAGGGGCAGGGGGGAGAGGAGGAGAGAGACGGACCGACAGACGGAGGGAAGCGGGGAGAGAGGGAGGGAGACGGGGACAGAGAGAGAGAGAGAGAGAGAGAGGGCCCAGCCGCTGGGCAGACCGCGGGGAAGTCGAGGAAGGCGCGTGGTCCCTCACCTGGCGTCAGCGGCGGCCGTCCCCCAGGCCCATCTGGGCAATTTAAGGGGCGCCCTGGGGGCGGGACCACTCCCCGCCACCGCCTTATCTGGTCAGCCCCGGGCTCCCAGAGCTAAATCGGGCCTCAGCTGTCAGCACCGGGGGGCGCGGGACAGCTGTCACCCCACCCTGCACCTGCCGCGTGACTGCGGCCCCCCTTCCCGGAACGAGGCGGGGCGGAGAGGCCCCCGCGGGTCTGCGTGGTGCGCCCCCAACGGGCGGCCTAGGACTCCGGGGAGCCCCTCACCACCGGGAGCTCTGGGACCCGCCTGGCCGGGCGCCCCGGGGCAAGGGACAGCCTGAGCCAGGCCTTGTTCCCGGGAGAAGTGGCGGCCTCGAAGGTGAGGGCTAGTGAGGGTGCAGGGCGCATGCTGCGTGGGGAGGGGCAGACAGGAAGCACTGAATCGCCGCGCAGGCCCGGGAGGGGGGCTGAGAGCAGGAGGGGAGGGGAGGGGAGGGAGGGGAGGGAGGGGAGAGGGGAGGGCCCGACCCCCGCCCCTCCCCAGGTCCCAGCCGGTGCTGCGGCTCCTCACTCGGACCATATTAGGCCACAGCGGAGAAGGCACCTGGGGAGGTCACTCAGGCCCAAGAATAGAAACACTCAGGGAGTCCCGCCAGGCTGTCTGGGACCGGCATGGGACAGGCGACAGGCACAGAGGGCAGGAGGGGGCCCGAGATGGCGCAGGGAGATGAAGGCTGATAGAGACACAGAAACATCCGAAAGAGAGACCAAGAGAGGGACACCGAGGGAGGGAGGGAGGAGTCGAGACCCGGGTGTGGGACAGCGAGCAAGCTGAAGAGGCACAGAGGGGGCAGGGTGGTGTGGGCGCCGCCCCCGAAGGTGGGGTGACCCAGGACCCCAGCCGTTTCTCTCATATGCTGCTTGACTTTTCGCTTTACAAGTTGCCCTTTGACCTCCGGGAGTCTTGGGAACCAGAGGCGCCAAGCCCAAGTCCCACATGTCAGGCTGGCTTTATGAGGGCGTCCCGCTGTGTCCGCACCCCGCCTTCTTTCGGGTGTCAGGGCTTAGCTTGTGTCCTTGGAAGAACTTGCTGTCCGTCCGGGTGGACCCAGCCTGAGGCCTGGTCAGGGACACACACCCTGCGTCTCCCTGCCCATGGCCTCCCTGTGCCTCTGGGTCCCCCATTTCTGGCCACCCCTAAAAGACGACCCCACCTTTGCCCAGGCCCCGCTCTACCTGCTTCCCTCCGTGGGCTCACACACACTCACGCCTCCCGGGACAGACCCCCGAAGCCATCTCCTGAGCCCCTGACCCGGGTCTCCCTCCCCCGATGTCACCCGGTCTGTCACATCCCTTATATCCCACTGAGCTCAGCCTGTCCCCCAGACCTCAAACCTCTCCTCGTCTGTTGGGGGTGGCCCTCCACTGTCCCAGGGTCCCAGGGGTCTGGCCCTCATTCCTCCCTTTTGCTCCCAGAGTCGCCGGACTGTGTCCCTCTTCCCCTCCCCAGGGTCTGGACTCAGGCTTCTGTCCTCTCCCATCTGGACCCTCAGCCTTCTCCCAGGCCTCCTGGCCGCCAGGCTGTCCCCACACCATCCCCAAGGGGGCTTTCTGAGCCCAGGACTGACCTGTGGCCCCCCCCCCCCCCCCCCGCCCCAGCTGTCCTGGACCGAGTGCAGCCCTCAGCGACCCCTTGTGGCTTGGCGGGGACCCACCCTCATCACCTGTCAGTAACAACTGCCCTCCGCGGATTCCACGTTTCATTGAGAGTTCTTTCAGGTTCTGGAATGGCCCCCTTCCCTCCCACTGGCCCTCTGGAGCCAGCAACCCCAGGTTCCCTCATCTTCCCCTGGCCCCTGAAGATCCCCCTTAAAACACTCCCCCCCCCCTCAACTGGGTCGGCGGGGGGCGGGGTGCTTCCTGTCCTCTTAGGTCTTCCTCCCAGCCTGAGAGCAAGCGCCTGGCTTCAGCAGCACAGGCCAGACCCAGAAGTAGGGCCAGGGAGCCGTGTGAATGGCTGACAGGACAAGGACAAGGAAGCGGCAGGGGCGGCGAGGGATGGGGGGATGGGGGACGGCGGGCCCCCGGGGAAAAGACCCAGAACAGGACGGGGGTCCTGCTCAGGTGAGAATGTGGCGAGAAGACACCTAACTGGTGCCTGTCCTCCTGCTCAAATCCACGAGGGACCGACCGTCTTCCCCCTCTGTCACCTCCCTGCCCAGTGTCGCTCCAGTCACACCAGCCTCCTCAGGGCCTTTGCGCTGGCTGTTCCTTCAGCCTGGAATGCCTTTCGCCCGCACCTCCCTGCAGCTCCCTCCTTCTCGGAGAGGCCCTCGGTGCTAGAAGAATCCTAACCAGTGTACTGGTTCCCGCGGCTGCTCGAACAAAGCCAGTGCCTTAAACAACGCACATTTACTCTTTACGCTTGTGGCCGGAAGTCCGGTGAGCCTCCCTGGGCTGGAGTCCTGGGCAGGGCTGCTCCCCCCGGGGCCCGGGAAGAATCCGTTTGCTTGCCGGTTCCGGCCCCTAGAGGTGGCTCCGCTTCCCAGCCGTGGCCCCTTCTGGTCTTCGAGGCCGCCGGCCGCGTGGCATCTCTGACCTGCTGCCTTCTTTCTGAATTTCCTGCCTCCTCCTCCACCTGTAAGGACCCTCACAATTGCCTCGGGCACCAGGATAATGCAGGATAATTTCCCTGCGTTCAGGTCAGTGGATCAGCGACCTTTGCAGCCCTTTATCACCTACCGGAGCATATTGGCAATTCCGGGGGGTCCTCTTTTGGAGCAATTGATGGGGGAGGATTGAGAATCAAGAAACTTGTTTTCTCCTCAGCACTTATCCCATCGGTCATTCTAGAAATGTTTATTTGTTTTGAGAGAGAGTGAGCGAGCTGGGGAGGGGCAGAGAGAGGGAAGAGAGAGAATCCCAAGCAGGCTCCACGCTGAGTGTGGCAGCTGACGCAGGGCTCGATCCCATGACCATGAGATCAGGACCTGGGCCGAAAATCAAGAGTCGGAGGCTCAACTGACTGAGCCACCCAGGCGCCCCGCTGAACATTCTACGTTGTTCCCGGTCTCTCCCACCAGCTCACAAGGATGGGTCTTTGTGCTGTTTTCTGCTGTGCTACAGACGAGGAAACTGAGGCCCAGGGAGGTGGGCAGCTCCTACGAGCTGGCGAAGCCGGGAAGTGGTGGAGAGTCGGCGCCTGGGCTCCGGCTCTCGGCAGCGCCCGCCTGGCTAATGGCCTCTCTGGTAAACGGGAGTAACCGGAGGCGAGGGGCCCCCCAGGCGGATGCGGGCCAGGCCGGGAGCAAATCAGCAGATTTATTGAGGCAGCGGCGGCATTGGGGAGCAGGGGGTGCGGAAAAGGGGCTGGGCCTCCGCGGGGTCCTTCCCTGGCGTTCAGGAGCCAGACGTGGATGCACGGGGACCGCACGGACGGTGGCCTGGTCCTCTCCTCCGCGGGGGTCAGTCTGTCCGCAGCCAGCAGACGGTGGCCTGGTCCTCTCCTCCGCGGGGGTCAGTCTGTCCGCAGCCAGCAGCCCTTTTCCTCCACCTCCTTGGTCACCACCAGCAGCACCTCGCACAGGCCCTGAGCCAGTGCCCCCGCCAGGAAGGCCCTGGGCAGAGAAGCGAGGAGACTGAGGCCCGGGGGCCCCGCGCGCTGCCTCCTGGGGTGGGGGAGTCGGTCGCCGAGCCCCAGCCCGAGTCGCCTCCCCCTCACCTGACGCCGTCCTCGTCCCCCAGGGCCTCAGGCGCCCGCAGCTTGGAGTCCAGGTTGTAGTAGACGCCATCCACCTGGCGGAGGGCCACCCAGTGCCGCCGGCGGAGTGGCAGGGACAGCAGCCCCAGAGACATGGGTGAGGGCAGGTTCAGGATCAGTCCCAGCACTTGGGGCAGGGCCAGCTGGGACAGGGGCCTGTGCGGGAGGGGTGGGGACGCCACCGTCTGGGTCCAGTGCTCAGCGAGCACCTGCCGGCCCAACGTGACTGAGCTCACGGGACCCAGGCTGGCGCGGCAGCAGTGGCCCCCCCCCCCCCCGAGCCTGCCCAAGGACTCTCCTCGGCGCCCCCTTCGTCTCCTCCCACTCGCCCACCACCCAGGCACCCAAACTCCCAGCCGTCTAACAACCACCCCCGCACCCAGCTGCCCGTGAACCGTCCACCCGAACATCATCCGCTTAATGACGCAACCGACCAGCCAGCCACCAACTCGGTTTACTCACCATCCTCCCGAGTCCGCATCCACTCGGAACCCGTCCATCCGTCCATCCACCCAATTAACTACTCAACCACCTATTTGCTATCCTTTATTCACTCAACCACTCCTCTGCCCATCCACACCCCCCCCCCCCACCAACCACCTACTCAACACGTCCAACTACCCTTTCACCATCCACTCGGTCACCGGATGACCATCTCCCAACCCGTCGGCCTGCCCTCCATCCAGCACCCACCCGTGCCGACCTTCCCCCCGTCTGCCCCTTCTTTCTTCCCTCCTGCCCACCGGTTCCCCTCCTGCTGTCCCACCGCACCCACGTGCCGGGCTCAGCACACATGATGAAGCGCTTGGGGTCCCACCTCCTTCGGTCCCACCACACGGTGGCCAGGCCCAGCCCCTGCAGGGCGGCCATGATCACGTTGACGTCATAGTTGCCGGTGCCCAGGAGGCTGCGATGGGGATTCAGCCGGGAGTCTGGGGCCAACCTGGGCGGGGGGAGGGTCAGAGCCTGAGACGGGGCCCCTGCAAAGGTCTCATCCTCCCCACAACGCAGGAGAGTCCCGGGGCCCTCGAGTCCCCCAGCCTTTGGACTCTTCCCTTTCCGCAGCCGCGTGGCTCATCAGCCCCAAGCCTGATTCCTCCTGTCCCCGACTCTCTCTGCCCTGTCCCGTAACCACATTTCCCCCCCGCTCAGGTCTCGTCCTCCTCCACCTGGACCCTCATCCAGCCTCCAGCCTCCAGCCTCCCCTCCGATCCCAGGGGCTCTTTCCACACCTGACACTGACCCCACCGCTCCCCTGTTCCCTGCCCTCCCTGGTGCCTTGTCACCCTAGGATAAAGTCCCAGTCCCTCAGCTGGCCTCCTAGCCTCAGTCCCGCCCCACCCCCTCCCGGCCACCTGTCCCCAACCACATCTCCTGTGCTCCCCTCTCAGTCTTTCCTCCTGCTATCCCCCAGCTCAGGGGGCCCACCCCGCCACCACTTGGCTCTCTGGGTCCTGCCTTCTCCAAACAGTGGCACCTTTGTTCTTTCTCTGGGCCCTCGGTGGGCAGGGCAGGGGGAGGGGCCGGAGAGGAAAAGTCTGTGTATTATTTTCCTGTGCATCTGTTTCCCTGGCCTCCCTCGGGGCAGGGCTCACACTGGACTCATCTCTGGGTCTCCAGCATGGCCTTGGTGTGAAAGAGTTGATGGATCCCTGTCGTGAATGACAGAGATGAATAAATTCTGCGATATTCAGTTTGAGGGGCTGGGACTCTGCCTGCGGATACTGGGGGTCCACGGGAGGGCTGTAAGGGTGGGGAAGACAGGGTCATCTCTGGGTGTAGCATCGTGTGCGTTACTGGCAGGAGGGAGGATCTGGGAGATGATGGGTTTGAGCCAGGGTGGGGGCTGCGGGGACAGAGAGGAGACAAGGCAGAGCAATACTAAAGAAGCGATGTTTGACATCTTGCATGGTGAGGAGGAACATTCGGGGCTGCCGAGAGAAGGAAGCTGTGCCAGAAAGAAGGCATAGCCCGGAGGCATCGTAGTAGGGCTCCTTCGGGGACCGGGGAGGCATCTGGTTTGGGGGGGTACAGTGAGATGGGACACTGCAGAGGAAAGTGGGGCCCAGAGCATGCAGGGCCTTGGCTGTTAGGCTGCATGACTTGGGACTTCTCCCAGGGCTGCTGGGGAGCCACATGAGGGCTGTGAGGGAGGGCAGGGTCAGCACTGGGGCCGTGGGTGGCGCGGACTGGCAGAGAAAAACCAGAAGCTAAGAGGCTGGAGGGGATGAGGGTCCAGATAAGGGAAGGGGAGGCCTGGGCTGGGGCCGGGGCCGGGGCTGGGGCCATGGCCAAGGACGGGTGTGAGAGGCAACCTCTCCATCTCTCAGTCCCGGGGTTCCCCAGGTGAGTGCTGGGGCAGCAGAAAGCCCCGGGGCTCTGTCCCAGCCGTGCCCGAGACCCGGGTGGGTCGCTCTGCCCGTCAGCCCTGTGTCTCCAGGGGTTAGGGCGGGTGATGGTCACCTCTTGCAGATCTCGTCGGCAGCCTCCTGGCTAAAGAGCTGCTGCTGCAGAACGTTGTTGAGGGCGTGGACGGCACACAGCTCCAGGCGTTGCCGCTCGTGATACACGGAGGGCCGGCTCGGCTGTGCTCCTGGGGCCTGGGACATACCGTCCTCGGCTCCTGCTTGGGGGTGGGGGTGGGGGGTGGGGGAGAAGGTACTCAGGGGCTTGGGATCTGGAGGCCCAACCTGCCAGCGGGCCCTGGGGGGCACTGCCACTGAGCTGGGGTCTTAGGGCAGCCTGAGGGGACACGAGGCCCCTGACCCTGCTCCCCAGGTGCTCTCCTGACAACAGGGTACCTCCATCCCCCATTACTAGGAACAAGGCTGTGCTACTCACCTAGCAACAGAGGACCGGCCCCCCCCATCCCTAAGAGAAAGGGTCCCTCCGGTGGTCACCTAGCAACCTCCCTCCCCTGTCCCTAGGTAACAGGCGCCCTCTCTGGTTACGTAGCAACAGAGGACCCCCGCCCCACTAGGTAACAAGTCTCTTCTCTGGTTACTTAGCAATGGAGAAATCCTCCTCCCCTGTTTCTAGGTAACAGGGTCTCTTCCAGTCGCCTAGCAACAGAAGACTCCCCTCCCCTATCAAACAACGGGGTTCTCTTCTCCCATCACTCGGCAACAGGGTCCCCTCCCCGGACACCAAGGAACAGAGCCCTTTCCCCGACCCGTACCCCAACCACGGCGCTCGCCCGTTGCCTGGCAACGCCCCTCACCCCGCCTGCCTCTCTGCTCCCCGAAACCAGGGGCTCCCGCATCCCCCTGGGCGGCGGCTGTGGGTTCCGAGTGCTGGGCGGGCAGCACGACGCTGACTGGGCGGCCGCGACACACACAGCTCCCGGCGGCCCCCGCGTGCCCCGACTACAGCTTCCGGCGGCCCCCGCGAAGGCCCTTTGCCCCTCACGCAACTTCCGGGCAGCTTGGCCCGGAAGTCCACTGCCGCCCCGAGAACGCGGAGCTGCAATGCCATTCCCGCCGTGAATCCCGGAAATATGCGGTGCAGAGGCCCGCCCCTTCGCGCACGGCCGCGCCCCCTGGTGCTCAGAGGATTCTGGGAAATGTAGTGGGTAGGCTCTCGCGATAGCTTCCGGGAGTGTAGCTCCCGCGAGTCGCGAGTGCTCCTCCCCTGTGATGGCGCCAATGCTAGTGTGAGATCGCCGCGTGACGTCACAGGACGGCAGCAAGGGACCGGAGACATCAGGGCTTGTAGGGAGAAGAGTCTCCAATATTTACTGAGCCAGGAGGAAGGGCCGGGGTAACCGAGGCCAGGGCAGCAGCGGGCTGGTAGTGGGGGGCCGTAAATGAGACGAAGATGTCCACTAGGGAAGGAGGCGGCGTCTCAGCAGAGATGGATCCCCGGCCTGGAGGGGAGCTGGCAGCAGCCTGCGGGGGAGATATAGGGACTAAAAGGCTGGGGCAGAGAGATGAGGAGGGGCAGACACCTGGGGGCAGGGACAGACCAGGGTGGGGGTGGAGGAAGATCTAGAGAGAGGGACTGAGACCGAAAGGGGGACAGAGAGCTGGGGGATGAACAGAGACACGCAGCGAGAGAGGTGGTAGGGTCCCAGCGAGAGGGGGACACAAACTCAGAGAAAGGAGGCTTGGACAGAGATAGATACATAAGGATTCAAAGTCGTGGACTAGAAGGTGGAGACACAGAAATAAAGATCAGTCAGCAGAGACCGAATCAGATCTGCAGAACCAGGCAGAGGCGGAGACCCAAGCTCCGCAGAGCACGGGGCGGGCAGGGCTTGGGGAGGGGGCCGCACCCAGGAGGCTGCGCCAGAACGCGGTAACGGTGGCAGAGCCCGTGACCGCGCCTGGCTCTGCGGGGTTCTCCCTGTGGGTGTGCACGGCGAAGCTTCGTCCTGTGGGGCCCGGGGGGCCAGTCAGCTCCACGTCCACCACGTGCATGTCTGCGAGGCTGGGGCAGGCAGGGCGGTCAGTGTGGCTGGCCCGGCCCCAGCCCCAGCCCGAACCCCAACCCCCACACCTTAGCTCACCTGAGGTCCGCCACAAGCACTCCAACCACGCGGTCAAAGCCCAGGCTGGGGGCAGCCAGGGCAGCGGCCGCCATGGTATTGGAGTTGCGGGGGGCGAAGGGGCAGAGCCCGCGGACGGGACCTTCATAGAGCACCGTGCGATGCTCAGTGCTGCGCACTGCAGCCAGCGGTCCCTCAAGCCGGAAACCATCGGGGTGCGTGGCCATGGTGACACGAAGACTCTGGAAGTGACAGCCAGGGTCAGGGGATCGGGGGTCTCTGGAGGACCCCCTCTGGGTCGCCGGGGAGCCCAGCGGGCCCTCACCTGGAGGCCCCCAGCTGCGTCCAATCTGGTGATGTCCTCAGTGCCCCACAGGGCCCCCCGGGCCACAAACGCAGCATGGTCCCAGCGGTGCGAGGCCTCCAGGAGCCGCTGCTCTGTGGCCTGATCAGCCAGGGCTGAGGGGGACCCCACCTGGGGCGGATGGAGGGGAGGGGGTCTGAGGTCAGGGGGATGGATGCCACTTCGGGGTGACGTGGGGCCAAGGCAGACTGGGCAGGGCTCACCAGGAGATTGGCGTGACGCAGGATTTGTGCCCCAGATTCCTGGATTATTTGGGGATGGGCCACTTCCACTACAAGGTCGGGGTGCCTGGGAGAAGGGAGAGATGGGGGAGGGTCTTGGAGAGGTGTCGGACCTCTCCTCCTCGGATTCCCTCAGAGTCTCTGGAGGCCTGTCCCTCTTCGCCCTGGCCTGAGAGGGGAAGCAGAATGGACAGGCTTGTCCCGCTTCTGGTTTGGCCCAGAGAGAGTGAGAGACTGGCCTGCGATCACAGCACCTAAGGGAGGCCAGGACAGGAGCTCCAGGGAGCCCCACTCATGGTGAGATCACTGACCTCTCCCCGAGGGCAGCGAGGTTTTGGAGCTGCAGGGAAGGAGGCACGCTCCCTGCCATTCGTCCCGGGTCGCGATTCCAGACAAAAACAAGTTCGAGGCCCAGTTCTGGTCCCTGAGTCAGCAGGTGAGAAACAAGGGACTGTCCTGGGGAGAGGGAGGGAGACCAGAGAGAGGGGACTGGGACCCAGAGGGAGGGGGACAAGGACAAGGACAGGAGGGAGGGAGAGAGAGACCCAGGGAGCGAATGCCAGAGATGAGGGAGGGGGTGCATGGACGCAGGGGGCGGGCGGGGGGGCACACAAAAACTTGGGTGGAGGACAGAGAAGCCGGAAGGCGGGACAGGCGGAGCGGACACCGAAAGAGGGGAGGGGGCCCCGTGGGGTCGGGGGAGTGGAAGATACTTAGACAGACACAGGCAGAGCCGGGGCACAAAGACACGGACGAAGGTGTGTTTGTGGAAGGCACGGGGTTTTGGGGGCTTCAGAAAGAGGCCCGGGAAGGGGCCCAGAGGGTCAGTGACTCACCAAGGCGGCCGTAGCCCACCACCCCGACTCTCCTCGGGACCCTGTCAGAAGCCATGACCCTGAATCTGAGCTCCGGCAGCTGCTCACCGCCCCCGTCCCCTCCAGGCCTGGGCAGTGGCTGATCTTTGGACATTGGACCCTTGATCCTCTCCAGAGCCTTCCCCTCTCCCCACAGTGACCCGGCGGGCGGCGGAGAGGGTGCAGGTTCGCCAGGTGGGGGTGGGTGAGAATCCCGGGGCAGTGGGCGCGAGGACTTGGGGTTCCGGGGCCCCGGAGGGCCCTCACCTTGCCCAGCCCCTTCCTTCCTGCATTCTACCTCCTCCCTTTCTGCTGATGTGGAAAATTTCCTCTGCAGTCCCCAGCCCCCCTTTCTGCCCGGCCAGGTTGTCATGGAAACCGCATCCTGCCTGGGGTGGGGGCAGAGAGGGTTGGGAGTGAGGGAGAGGAGACGGTGTTGGGGACTCTGGGCTCTCCGTCCCTTGCTCCTGAGAATTCCGGCCCTGTCCTTGGCCCTGCCGTGCCCCCGCCCAGCCTCGCGCCCGTGTGTTTCTTGTCTACCTCCCTCCGTGTTTTCCTCCCTTGGTTCTCTGTCCCTGACTCTCTCCTTCCCTCCTGTCGCTGTCTCAGGGCCTCTCCCTGGACCTCCAGCCCCGCCCCATCTTCTCTGGGCTGGTGGCCATTCCGTCCCGTCCCCGGCTGGGCCAGGCCCACATCTCCTGCCCGCCCCGAGTTCCCAGGGAGGCCGGGCCTGGTCTCCGCGCCCCATCTCCCCACAGGCAGCAGGAGCTGGAGCCCGGCTCCTCCCAGCTTCCACCACCAGCCCTGTCCCAGTCTGCTCGGCCCTCAGTTCACCTTGACTTCTCACCTTTCACGCACCCTTCTTCCAGCCACGATGCCATCAGCCCCCACCCCCCCCCCCATCTTGTATTCTCACTCCTACACCCGGTCCTCCCCTCCCCCGACTCCCAGTGACCAAGGAGAAGCCCGTGAGGCCTGGGGAGACCCCCAGGTCCCCCCAAGTGAGGCCCGGCCACCGCACCCTGCAGGTGCCTGGCACTGGAGATGGCGGAGGCTGCGGCAGCGCGGCTCCCCGCCCCCAGCCGCCACCTGGTACCCGCCGCAGTGTTGCCATGGCAACCAGGATCGCACCGACCGAGGACGGGAGAGAGAGCATGAAAGGAGCGACGGGGGAGCCGGGCTCAGAGTCCCGGGTCGACAGGCAGGGGCAGACAGACGCAGACAGACAGGGCCGGAGACCCCAGAGGCAGGCGGCTGTCAGGTCCCTAAGGGAGGAATTTGCTTTTGGAGCCCCAGGTGGGGGAGAGAGGGGACGCCGTGGACCCTCTGCTTCCAGTGGCCTGGGCCCGGCTAGACAGCACTAAACGGCATCTGCCCACTGTCCCGGTGGACCCGGCTGGCACCCACCTGCTGGCTCCTGTCCCTCCCAGGGCTCTGGGTGAGCCCCCGCCCTTCTGAGTTACAGCGCGGCCCCCTCCCACTCCCGGGCCGACCCGTCCCCCTCTCCTGCCTCGGCGTAAGCAGGACAGAGGTGCGGCTTCGGCCCGCAGGCCCAGCTACAGCGGGAGCACATCACTCCTTCCCCGCCTTCAGCCTGACTCGCTTTCTCCCCCCAGTGCCTTGTGGGTGGGCAGAGGGGACCGACGCTCTGGGTGTGGCTCTGTGGCGGGTCGAGTCGCGTCCTCTCAAAAGGATCTGTTGAAGTCCTGACCCCCAGGACCTGTGCACGTGACCTTATTTGGAAACAGGGTCTCTGCGGATTTTGCCGCGAAGACGAGGTCGTGCTGGGCTCTGATCCTGTAGGACCAGTGTCCCTATAAAACAGGGGAAATCCGGACAGAGAGACGGAGTGTGCGCGGAAGGAAGGCCATGTGGAGACGTGGGGGACGTGGGGTGCTGCGGAGCTGGAAGAGGCAAGAAGGATCTTCCCCTAGAGGCCCCGGGGGGGGGGGGGGGGGAAGCACGGCCCTGCCCACGACCTCGATCCTGGGCTCCTGGATCAGAACGAGGAGCCTCCCAGCCTGTGGAACCAGGGAGCATGAGGTGGGGGGGCGGGGGGAGGCTCACGTGAGCCGTGGGGAGGTTAAACACAAGGGCCAGGTGTG